ATGGTATTTTTATAACACCTCTTCCAAATATCCTAGGATGCAGCCCCCTTTTTATCTTTGGGCTCTAGGCAACTGTAGTCCTAGCAGATTCTGAGAAGAAACATCTTAACTATGTTCTAGATGAGAAGTAAGAGTGAACAGAGGCAGTGGAGAGATTAATGTAAAAACTATATGGACCATCCCAGGGCTAAAATGTGTGTGTGTGTGTGTGTGTGTGTGTGTGTGTGTGTGTGTGCATGTGCACGCACATGTGTGTGGTTGTGCATTGTACAAAAGGTAAGGAAAGTTATTTTTCCAAAGTCCAAAATAAGAACAACTAAAAGTTTGCAGTATCTCTAAAACATGTTTGTCTAGGGGACCTTAACAAGGTCCCCTCAGAACCTATCTCTAAGAATGCGCTCCTCTCCCATTTCTGCTGCCTTTCCTTCAATATTCCAGTCCCTCACTGTGGTCCAAGCAGTGCATGTGAAAAGGCAAAGCAGAGTATCAAAGACAGACATACTTCTAAATCAAGGAGGGAAGGCCATGTGAACCAGTAAGCAGCCCGCTACCTGGGCATCAGCAGCTGCCTCTGTGCTGTCCCTCAGACAATGCTCAGCACCCCAAAGTAGCAGGGAAAGCACTCCACACTGGTGGTAAGTCTTCCACCTTTCAGCCATCGAATCTGTCTGCTCCAAAAAAATAGGAATTGTATAGGGACAATTTGAGAATGTAGTAGAAAGGATGGAAAAGGAGGAAAATGGGAAAGAAAAACTAACAAATCCCAGGAAAAACCCAGATTATTGGCAAAACCAAAATATCCATGAATTATCCAGAGCTGGTTGGGAAAGGTGAGTGGGCCACCTTCATCTGGGTCTGTGGTCTCATTTCTCTACTAGACACCAGCTGCGCTCTGGGCTCAGAGTTCTGCCCTAGAAGAGGCATCTCTTGGGGCCACTTTTACCTCCTCAAGCTCATCCCAACATGCTCCTCCTGCTTAAACAGTGGCAGCACTTATAACCATACACAAAAGATGGGGTGTGCATGTGAACATGATAGAAGGTCCCTACTTCTCGAGCAAGGTCAACATCTGGAGAGACTTAGGTTTCAGAGAGGGACTCTGAGTCATCAGTCTGTGTAAAGGCTGTCAGCAACTTTTCCATGCTTTCAATAAAACCCAAATCCCAACCTGCTGGAATGGTCCAGCCCCTTTGAGACATCTGTTGGACTCCTCAGAAAAAAAGAATTAATATAATAAATTTGAATTGCAGAGATGAGAGACGGGATCCAGCTAGAGACCTGACTTCCAAATCAATGACACCCTCATCCTGCCCTTCCTAAGAACGAGGCCTTTGGGCCCTGTGCCTCTACCTTGATTGTCCTTCTTGGAAATAAAAGCACCACATAGCCATCTACCTGTATCCAGAAAGACAACCTTCAGTCCCAAGAGAGAAGGCGCTGGTAACTCCTCTTCTAAAAAGGAATTCTCTGTCTCTCCATGTGCTAATAGCTACCAGAAAATATTCATTTCCTTTCAGTAAACAGAAATAAAAATTAAATCCAAAAATTTCAGAAGGAGAACAGAAGTTGAGTTGTGCTGGGGAAGCTGAGGAGTGAAGGAGACAGTTTTATTGTGCTGTCTCTGCTCCTCTGCTGGGTTTTTTGAAGTAGTCTATGCATCTGCTTTGTGCTTTTTTCCATGTTCTAATCCCCCTGAAAAAATGTTAGAAGAAAAGGTGAGGAAACAGTGAGCGGACTGGATTAACTGAAGGTTCTCCTCACTCTGGGCCCTCTAAGGGTCAGGAGTGACCTCATTGTGCTCCACTTAAATTGCCATTGGCTCATGCAACCCTGGGGCAGAAATGGAAAGAGAAACAGCAGGCAGCAGTGGCCAATGCTCAACCCCGCTAGGTCCTCACCCCAGGAGGTCTGATTCAGGAGCCAACCAGAACACCCCCAAGCCCCACCCTGCCCTGGCTTGTTGAGTCGCCTCCCCACGTGGGGCTTTCTGCAGCTCAAATTTCTCAGCATGGGTGTCTGGAACCAAGGCAGCTTCTCCACCCTGCACAAAGGGGAAGGGGTGGAGGGGTCCCTTGTTTGTTTCTTCCTCAGCTCTCAAGTCTAGCTCCTCTTTCCCTGTGAGCTCAGCTTCTCCTTGGCAGAGCTTTTGGGGGTGGGAGGGATTGGGGAAAAAAATAGCATCTAGGGTTCAGGACCATCCAGAAAACCTCTCTCCAACCTAAGAGGTCAGTTCCTCTGTAAACATTCTAGCCAGCAGAGCTGGCGTCAAAAAGCAGCACAGAACAGCAGCAGGGTGTGATAAGGCAATGTCCTCTGCTCTCTTCCTTGCTCCCTCTCATGCAGTCACTCTGATGGTGGGGGACTTTCACTCCCCAAGATAAGCAAAAGCAGTTAGTCTAAACAAATAAGTCCTGGCCACCTACTGTGGACTATGCTACCATCTGTAGGAAGTGCAGTAGAAGAAAAGATGCAATCCCTAACTACAGCCTACCAAAGTCAGATCTCCTCAGAGATCGCCTAGCCCAATTTATTTACCAAACACCAGAGCCAAAGTTCAGAGGAGTCCGTCAAGACCAGAATCAAGACTCACTGCCTCCTGTTGAGACCAGTGCCACACACATGACATAGCGATCAAGGCCCAAAACAGGGCTTCACATAATGAACATTCGTGGTCTAGACTTGCAGGCCAATGTTATCAGAACATTGAAAACGTGATAAATAAGAGAAGTCTCTCTTGGAGATGGGAGACAAATGAGGAGGGGCAGGAAAGCTAAAAAACACATAAGACTTTGTTATTATTCAACAAATGTATGCCCCAAATACTTACTGAGCTCCTGTTCTGCAGCAAGACCTTTTAATACCCAGCCACTATACAGAGATGCACACGGCTGCTGAATGTCTGCCTTTATGGACGTGCTTCCTTTTGTGGCGCTCACTGCAGAAGAAGCAACTGAGCCAGAGTGGACAGAGAAGTTCCTTGAGCTACAAGGCAGGATAACAGCCTTCTGAATAGACTTCCTCTCTCTTCCAAGTCCCTGGAAATAGGAAAAGAAGTGTCATTGCGATAGCCTGGGTTTCGAAACATAATTGGGCACCCTATCAATGAACATTAGAAATTAAGGGAATGGGGCTTGAACCACGTTCCTCTATTCAACTTTTGCTAAAAAGTAAAATTAAAAAAACAAGTCCAACATGGTCAGTTCTTGAATGAAGAAAATAGCAGTTGAATACTCAAGGCAAACCAGACCTGCCCTGAAGGAATCCTGAGTGGCAGAAAACAAAAAAAAAAAAAA